GTAAAACATATACGACCATGATGTATAAGATGTATAAACCAAGTTCAGCATACAAATTTTCGATAAGAAAATAGAAATTCTGTACAGATTGCAAATACCGTAGTAATTCACAACAAAAGCTCATACAAACATTCTACTTATACAATTACCAGATCTACAACCAAATGTGAAATTATTATCGAAGATTATGTTTCATTTCACGTATTATTTGATAGTTTAATGAAAAGAATTGAGTCCATCTCCAAGTACAAATTCCTAATTTCAATTCTAAAAACTTAGAAGACATAAAAAATAAAATCTGGAGAAAAAGTTAAACACAATTAATCCATAAATTGATCGAGCCCTAAAAAACCATAATTAAAAGTAGTATTTGACTAAATATCTTAATCCATAGAATATCAATCACACAGCGTCAACTATCAATTCATTTCACCCCTCCACTCACAGCACTTAAGTAACACATTGTTGATTACTCAAACCATAATTCTTGTTATTAGTTTTTGTTATCAATCAATCTTCAAGCCCAGCTAGCTTTCCTCAAGGAACAAGCAACTCAATCCATNCCCCCCCCCCCCCCCCCAATTCTATGCAAACTCGAGCAGTACTAATATTCGAGAGATGGCATCATATTACGAAAACCGAACCATGAATGATCTGAACCGAAAACAATGAAAATTTTGCCTTCCTGCACATGTAAAATACCTCATATGGATTCACTTGAACTGCAATCCAATGACAGGGAATGGCCCTTTCAAGATGATGGAGATGACCTTCAATCAATTACCTTCAGATACGTTCAACGTTCTTGAGGAATTAGGGCTCCAGTATTTGCATTTTTGCTGCTATTGGTGAGGCTGGAAACGTTAGAAATGTTCCGGCAGTCAGAAACCTGTATTACACCCTATGATTTTTTCTCAGATCACGTGTACTTGGAGATAACAAAGTATAAGTAGAAAATATATATAGCATACCTGTAGACGAAAGACCGAGAGGAAGAGTGTTGAAGCAAGATTTTACCTCAAATCTTGTAGTCCATCGTCTACCATTTCTCATCCAAGCAACGCTATGTATTCGAATTTAATGAGAGGTTGTTCACCGTTGAAGAAGTCGAGAGGCGACGCCGAGAGAAGAGGAAGACAGAAGGTTAAAGATGGGTGAGAGGTTTTTGATTTGGGTGAGGGGTTTTTGAGTTGGGCTTTTGGGCCCTTTATAATTTGAGGCCCAAGTGGCCCAGGGCCGGCCCTGTACAACTTTTGGGTCGGTTTATTTGAATTTGTAGGAGAAATTTATTTTACAAGATAAGGGTATATGGGTCTTTTGACAATTTTAAATAATTAAAATCACTTTTATTTTATTAATTTGAGTTAATGGCCAATTGGACAAGTTCGTGAGCAGTGGCCATTTGAAGTCATTCCCTTTTTTTTTTCCCCATAGCAGGGGAAATTCGAGCTATTTGTTGTTTCTAGGACAAGAGTATAATAGGGGAAATTAGCTATTTTTTGCTGAGATAGTAAGTGCTCGATCGATCGAAAGAGAAATGAAGACCCATTACTGGGTTCGAGCTGCTTCTTCAGATTTTACTGGAATTCTTCCCCAACCTCGAAGGCAACTCCCCCTCTCTCTCTCTCTCACAGCACACTTGCTGTTTTGATTGTTAACCAATTAAAGTTTAAAAATTGCCTGATTGATTCGCAGTGGTCACACAGCTGTGGACATCGGGAAATCGAAGATCGTGGTTTTCGGAGGTCTAGTCGACAAGAAGTTCCTCAATGATGTCACTGTTTATGACATTGGTATTCTCTGTACTCTTTATTTTTTCTTACAGCATTAATCTTCAAAATCAACTGGAGTATTGAATTGTGCTTGATCTGGTTGACTTTCTTATTCAGTACACTTAGGCATTGCTAGAATTTAATTAATTTAAGTTTTAATTAAAAACTGAAACTTTGAAATAATTTGTGGGAAGGTGAAGTGGGTTTGTTTTGTTATTTGTTTCCGTCTTTTTT